ACTGAGGGTAACTTTAGAGAGAAAAAAGATTATATTTTAGTTGATATTAAATTCTAGTTTTGTTAATTGAGGTCCATAATTACTAAGACACTTTCCAGATCATTCCTTGCTGTTATGTCACATTGCTGTACAGTTTAATTGAATTATGAAAAGGATACACTAGGTTTGTTTCTGAAGCTCAGTAATCTATCATTGGGTAAATTTCCAATGCCCCATGACCTGCAGCCAGGGGATTATACATACTGGAACAGGCATGACTTAAAGAACTGTCTCCAACCTGAACGGAAGGACCCTTTTTCAGGTACTCTTAACTAGACCATACACACCAAACCTGAAGGAAATGGACTCTTGGACTCATTTCCTATCTGAAACAGCCCCTGCAGTGCACTGGCCTATAGAGCACTGCTCACCTTAAAACAATGCCCAAATGGAGAAAAATCTACCAGGCCAGGATGAGAAGAAGACGACATCTGAGGTAGACAGCTGACCCAAGACACCGGACCAGGCCTGTATACCAATTAGTTTGATAATTTCTCCAACCTTTGATTATGAACTACTCCAATTGTTAAGTTTATGATAAATTACCTATGACTAGTACTTCTGTGTTACCTTGGTGGGTTTCCGTACTCCAAGGCTCTAACTAGATAGCCCTCAGAAACGTAATTCTCAAAAGAAATTATAGTTCTGTTTAGGCCACTCTTGATCTTACAAGGTGGGAAACTTCACTTGGCCAATTAATATCTGCTCTGACCCTTACCATAAATATGAACTTTCTCATAGGATCAAACTCAGAAACACAAGCAAAATTTTAACCCAAATATACAACTTCTCGACTATTAAATTCTTACTCGTGACTTTATTAACGTTACTAGCTATATTACTTATATCCTGTCTATTTTATAAAATTGTTGTCTGTTACATTTCCCAATGTGTAACTAGGCCTACAAGATTGATGATGGCAAAACATCTTGAAGAAACAGATAAAATTTATAACCCTGAATAAAATAAATACAATAGTGTGATTCTAGGTATGGGAATGAGCAATGAAGGGTAAACATTCCTGGATCATAATAGACTAGTAAGACAGGTGATCCAGAGAACTTTTAGTAACAACAGGGCCTGATAAAAAAAAAACTAACACCTTGAATGGCAACTCAGAAGATTCTTCACTTGAACTAGGGATGAGCCATCCTAGCACCGTGGGACAAAATTGGTCATGAAATGTCTCTCAAAATATTGGTCGAATTTAGGACCAAGGGGGAGCACTGTGAATGAATATACTACAATGTGAATGAAAATACTACAACCATGTCAGTAAACAAAGAATGCGGATTATAAGTCATCAGCAGCTACTGCCAACCCCCAGCCAGGACATGCCTGCAGCCCGGCCTCTCAGCCACTCACAGTTGGTGCCCTCTGAGCGGAGTCAGAGTAAGAAAGGACAGGATACTGGCCCTAGATAGCCAGGTGCTTGCCAAAGGAATGAATTCAATGACCCAAATGTTTGCTTCCCACCACACATAGAAAAGCACTAAATACTTGAACTTGAGATACCTGGATTTCTTTAGATAACAAGCAATATTTTATTGTTCCAATTACTTGGTCTTTGTTGTAAAGCTTCTATATATCCTAGCTCCTCCCCTACCTCTTGGGAGCAGTCCCTCAGAATGATCTGAGAGGCTGTCATCCCGGCTCGAGTCCTCCAGCCAAATTAAACAAAGCCCTTAACATTTAGGCTGAGCGTTTATTTCAATGACGTTCCAGAATAGAAACAACTCATTAATTCTGTAATGGAACACACTGAATCAGGAACCAAAAGCATGTTTTAGTCCGGAAAATCTCCGGGTTCCTATTTCTTCCTGTTATTATACAAACCCTCCAGAACTCATTAATTTGCTGTCTGCTCCTGTGGCAACCAAACTCATAGAAGAGTCATCTCAGCAGATCACCCTCCTGGGGGGAACCCCCAGCAGAAGCACTGCAGGCCATCTGCCCTCCCGCACGCTCTGCTGACCCTTGGTGTCCTCCTTGGAGACCAGGGCAACAGAGCTGTTCCCAACAGCTGCAAAGTCGCACACGTTAAATAAATCATTTTATTTTATACGATATTTTACGTATATACCCATCTCTGAAAACAGCTTTGCCAGAAGCCCAAATCTTCAACATCAATCCGCAAAGGCAAATCTGGTCCCCAAGGGGAAACAAGACTTAAGACGACGCTAAGGCCTCCAAAGTCCTCTCAAGGACTGTCAACCAAACTGCCTGCAGGACTGCAGCTGCAGGCAGTTAAATCTCTGCTTTTAAAGCAACCGCTTCCTGCCCTCGGGAATTACAATGTCCCTCTACGCCCTCCTTTCTCAGGGTAAGAGCAGCCGCTGCAAAACCTTGCAGGGAAGCACTGACAGGACTGGACAAAGAGGATCAGAGCTAAATTAATACTTCTGATGACAAGACCTTGTCACTGTGTCACTTTAGAAATGAAGATATATATAGAGAGAGGTGTGGTGATATTGCTCAAAGTCACACAGCTAATAAGGGGCAAAGTCTATAACTCTGCTCTTCCCTTCGGCATGACGCCCCAGCTGGGACGCCCACAGGGTTCTCTAGTGCCTGCCTGAACAGTCCTTTCCTGTCACTCATAACCCACCACAGGGTCTGACCCTAGCCTGCCTTTTCAGCATCTTTTCCCTCCAGTCTCTCAGGAACAAGGCAGTTTGGGCCACTGTATGACTTCCGGCTCCCAGAAACCTCCGTGCTCAGGCTGGTCTTGCCTGTGCATCCGGCCCCCTGCTCAGAGGCTCTTCCTCCCCTGCAGGAGGACGTTTCCACTCTCCGCAGGGACACCTCCTCAGGGGGAGCCCTCTTCTCGCCCTCAGGACGGCAGGTGTCTCAGGCCACATCCCGAGCTGCCCCACAAGGACTGAGGGTGCCCAGGTTTGCTAGTCAAACCACCAGCCTCAGAGCCAGGGATTATGCCCGGGCCACCCTGCAAACCTACGGCCCGCCTCACAGCCCCCAGCCAGCAGGTAACCTGGAAGTCACAGCAAGTGCCCCACCCAATTCAGAAGCCACTTCATTTGCCAGCACCGCTGATGACTTGTTTCCAAACTTTGGTCAGTTTCGCACAAAACAGAATCTTCAACTGTGAAGCAAGGGGTTTCGCTTCTGCTCCCCATCCTTACTGGAAACGTCAAGGGAAACGAAGAGGCCTTTTCTCAACACTTTTATGATGACACCCTCCCACCCACAATACTCATATGCCCAAGAGCTTTGGATCCACATGATTTTGTTTCCCTTACGGTAAGTGGTTTAAAACACTGCGGAATTCCTTTTCTTTTGAGGGTATTTGTACTCAGTATATCGGCTTTAATCAGTTTTTGTCTCTCTCTTCAGTATCCATAGCAGTTGCCACCTATTACTCATTTCAGCGGCCTCCTTCCCAACATCTAGTCTAGGAAATCAGCTGTGATGAGGGGCCCAGGGGCAGTCAGAGAAGATGCAACTAAGGCACAGAGAGGCTACATAATTAGCCCAAGAAGATCAGCTTCAACGCCCAAAAGTGTGTGACACTTCCCTCTGTTTAACTCTTATGCTAAGCAAGCTAAATTTTTCTAGCTTATGGTTATAAACAGATGAGGTATGAAAATACATACAATGACACACATCTACTCTAAGATGTTCATTAATTCCTCTATTTTGTTTTTATTTATTTCTATTAAAAAAATTAAGAACATCTGCAGTCAGTATAGCAAAATGTTACTGGGCTTTAAATCCAGAATATAGAGGTGTTAAGTGTGTCATTACTCATACTTATTTGTATGTTCACAAGACAAAATGATTTGAAAGTCCCTCTCCCCTCCCCCTACTAACTACTGGCTCTCACCTGAGCTCCCAGACCACACATCTAACAGCCTTTCACTTTACACACAGCTGAACTCATCAGTATTCCCACAGAGCTCCCACTGCAGATTTCCCTCCTCAGAGCACAGCAGGACCATCATTTACCTCATTTATCCACACAGAAACCTGGGCCTTACTCCATCCTACATTCACAGACAGCATTCATCCTTTCCTTTTTACCATCGAAACATGCCTTCAATATGTTCGCTTTTACCCACTGACCGTCCAACCGCTCAAGTGGAAGCCACCAACACTGCGCACCTGGACTCACAAGTCTCTCAAGTGGCCCCTCAGCCGCTCACCCCTACTTGAGACAAATGGGATTCTGTCACTCCCGAGCTTTTTGGACTCTTTTCAGACCCACTCTTCTTAGAAGAAACTCCAAGTTCTTCACCTGGTGGAAGTCTTCATCATGAAACTGTCAGCTCAGGGAGGGCAGCGCCCGCCCTCCCCCTCGGCCCTGCCCTCTGGCAGAGCATCAGCTTGGGAGGACCTGCTGAGCTACACCAGCCTGTATTCTAAACCTGGTCTTGAGTTCTTAGCAAACTGCTTCACTTATCCATACAAATCCAAGGTAGATTAGAAAGATTTTAGATGTTGAGCTAGACTATTGATTTGGGGATTTTGCACTAACAACCTGCAAGGACATGTTCTAATAATTCTGTCTTCTTAAAACCACACCCAGATTAAAGGAGTATTTGTGGAATGTCTTCGGAGGAAAAGGGACAGTACTTTTACAGACTTTATGTTTTATAACATGAACAACACAGACAGGGTCACAAATGGAACCACCTCACAGGTGACAGAAGACAGGTGAGAGGCACAAAGCAACAGGTCGCAAAGATGTTAAGAGCAAAGTTGATTCTCCAACACCCCCAAAAATTCCTGAAAGAACCAAAAATTCTGAATTTTAAATGTAAAAGACTATCATATAGAGAAATGAAATAAATAATCCTCTTCATCAGGGTTTCAAGATCTCACTCCAGAGTTTTTAGCAGGCCATACTGAATCTTAGCACAGAAAAATCAGATGGACTAGTGGTGAGAAAGTTCCAGGAAAGCTGCAGTAATTCCTCCACTTTTGTAAGGACATACACTCACCTGCCGAAGGTGAATGTAGACCGCATTCTGGATAAATTCGGAAGCTTCCAGGCTCCGCTTCTTGATGCCGAGGACACGGACAGCTTGGAAGCATGCTTCTAACTCAGTCACCGGCATTCTTACACTGCAGGGGAAACGGAGGCCCCCAGTCAAGAGCAGAGATGCTCCTGTCGTGTATCACAGGCCGTGCCTCTGGGACTCAGTGCCCTGCAACAGCCCGGCCCCAGGCAAGTACCCACAGCGTGGCCCACCCAAGCAGGAGGGGCACTGTGCTTTAGAAAGCCCATCCCCGATGGGGGCAAGAGGGGCTGGTGGGGTTGAGTGAACCTATAATTGCCCACAGAAATATGCGTGCATTCATTCAAGTGATACAAACAACAGTAGCAAGCTATTTAACAAAATTTCAATTGTCAGCGGAAATTTTGCCATTCCTTTCCGCTTGTCCCCTGCACTCTGAGACAGGCTTAGGCTCTCTTACACCTGCAGCTCTGTGCAATAGTTGTGAAGTAATTTTACTTTGCTGCAAGTGTCCTCACTCCCCGTTTCACTTTTTCTGTCCTCTCTTAACACAGTCGGATATCTTCCTGTATCTCTCCCTGAGTTCCTTGCTCCTACTCCTCAGATCCTGAGATAAAGGACAAGTGAAGACACGTGACCAGAAAAGGTACTGTGGACTTGAACGAAGTCCTCAGTGACCCCCTAGGTGAGTGCTGCCCACCCCTTACCATCGATTCTCAAGGTTCTGCCCAGGGTGACATCCAGCCCAGAGAGGTGGCCCAGGCCAATTAAAACCTATGTGGCTTGGGCGCAGGGACAGTTATAGGAGCTGGTTCCGGAGCCAGGCCCCTCCCCACCTGTGCTCCCCTCTCTCCCGAAGCCCCCCTGCCAAGCACTCAGGCTCCCTGATCTTATGTCTTACACTTCTACTCTATTCCAAACCCTTTTTCTTTCCTTTTTTCCCTAATTATCCCCAGCTGGAGTGATTTTTCAATTCAGTATCTGAAAAAAATTCCTGCAGCCGAAAAAGAGGTCTCCAGAGGTCAATGCCCATATGCTGGTTCCTGAAGAGAGCCCCTGGCTAGGGCGACCCTCACCAACACTCACGGGGCATCAGACATGTTGGAGGGTCGGCAACCCCCAACAAGAGTTTGCTGTCACCCCAATGCCCATACAGCATCCCTGCTCACAAAAATATAGTTGGTCCACTTATCGGTAATTAAGAAGCAAAAATACAAAATTGCTCATGTTTCTTACTAAAATTACCTATGAAGCTGAAAAGGGAATTGTAATAAAAAATAACAATTTTGACCCTATGTTAGATCTGTTCCTTTGGCTTTAAACCTGTGCCCTGTTTTCTAGACTCAGACTTGGTAGATCTGCACCATTTGAAAAAGAAAGTTGCCTTTAGCCTGAAATCTACAGGAAAGCCTATTCTCCTGGCCCTGATCTTTAAAAATGTTAGCTCGTCTGAACTTCTGTAGAGATGGCAAGTTGCATAATAGAGAATAGCCTTTGTTTTTTTGGAGGTTTTACAGGGGCACCATGCTTTGATCCACATGGACAGCTGCAAGAACAGCGGATTCAAAGGACAAGCAGTTCATAAAGCAAGAAGTATGCAACAACCAACCACAACCCCGCCCCTTTTAGTATAAAAGGAGACTGAATTCTGACTTGGGGAAGGTGGTTCTCCAGGACATCAGTCTGCCGTCTTCTGGGTCTGCCAGCGTTGCAAGTAAAGTCACTATTCCTTGCTCCAACACCTCATCTCCCGGTTTATTGGCCTGTCATGCAGCGAGCAGAACGAGTTTGGACTCCATAACAAAATGACTGCATTGGAGGTAGTATGTCTCCACTGTTTCCTCATTTCCAATATGTAACATGCACATCATTTATGATCTAGTGCAAATAATTCATCAAAGGCAACTGCCAAAAGAAACTATACTCACCTAGCTATCAACACTGAAGTCAAAACCTGTCAATTTTATATGCTGTTTAACAACACAACGGAAAAACTTACATAGGGAGTTGATTCCACAGAAATAAAATTATTTCTACTCTTTCAACACTTTTTCTTTTCTTTTCTATTTTTTTTGTTTTGCTTATTGAAAGGAAAATAAAAGTCAAGTCATTTTATTACATGTATTTTTGTTATAGCTACATTCTTTAAATACTACAAAAAGATTTAAATTGCAAAAAAAAGTTCATATATTAGTATAAAGATATATACACAAACAATGGGGATTAGGAAAGGAATGGACATTTACTAAAAATCCACTGCAATCCTGTATTTTACAAGCATATCCTGGAATATAAGCTCTATGATACAGGGGGCCCACCCCCATTCTCACTGTTGAGTCCCTTAGTAAACAACTAGTAAGGCACCAGCATAGAACCATGTGATCAGTATTTTAGGAATAAATGAGGGAATTAGCTCATTCAATTCTAAAACAAAAACCCTAAAATAAATACTGAACTTATTTACAGATAAAGAAAATTGGAACCCAAAAAAGAAAAGTTACTTCCCCAAGGTCACAAAGCTAATAACTGGTAAAGACAAGATTTGAACTCATCTGCCTGATTCTAAAAACTAAGGTGGAAATCCCATTCGACTGGGAGGGTCCAGCAGCAGAGCCTATCACCCTATCTTTGTTCATATCTAGCCTTAGACAGCCTGAGATAGCACCCCATTCCTATGGAACTCGAGGGCAAATGATAACAATAAGGATTTTATATCCAGTAGTTTGTTAGGTCTCATATATATAAAGTGTCAGCAGGTCAGCAGAAAAACTCTGGAAAATATGAGTGGGTCCAGAGCTTTTTGCTGATTAGTAACTCAGTCTATCAGGACATAGTGACCTTCCCATGAGAGGCCACATGGACATAAACTAAAGGCAGCTGAGCAATGAAAGCTAACAAGA